GTGTTGAGGATCTGGAAGGAGCATTTTGAAAAGCTTCTGGTATCAAATAGTGGCGGTAAGAAAGATGCCCTAGAACCAATAAGAGATGACATTAGATTTTATACCACATAGCCAAACTGAGGTCAGAATAGCAATTAATCGGCTGAAGAATAATAAGGCAGCTGGTGCCGATGGGTTATCAGTTGAACTATTCAAAGCTGGTGGTGATTTGTACAATTTGACTAGAGGAATGCATGCCCAATGATTGGAACCTCAGCATCCTTTGTCCCGTGCGCAAAAAAGGAGACAAGAGGAATTAGTATGCTTCCCATTGCATATTATGTGCTATCCAGCATGTTGTGTGAACGACTGGAGCCAATATTCAATTACATTATTGGGCCATACCAATGCGGCTTCAGACCTGGCAAATCCACCATAGACCAGATTTTCATACTGCGCCAAATCATGGAAAAGACTCACGAAAAATACATCGACACATTCTACCTATTCGTCGACAACAATGCTGCATTCGACTGCCCAATCCGCTCAGAGGTGTTTAAAGCAGTGTTGACAAAACCAAAATTAATACGGCTATGCAGGCAAGGTAACAATTTGTCGTATGACCTGTTGTCGTACATCTTGCTGTAAATGGTCATATGAGATGTAAATGTGAACAGGAATGGCACTCTGTACACCAAACAGCACATGTTACTCGCCGACGACATCGACATAAAAGGTCGAACATTGCGAGCTGTAAGCGCCACCTTTGAACGAATTGAGAAGGAGTCTGCCAAATTGGGACTGGCAGTAAATGGATAGAAGACCAAGCTGATGGTATCAACGCTAAAACGTCCACTAGACTCGGACAAACTACAGCTTCGAGGTAGTGAACCATTTTATATACATCGGTATCGTCATAAACAAAACTAATAAAATCAGCTTTGATATCCGGAGAAGAATAGTGTTGGCCATCATATGCTACTATGGTCTGAGCAAGCAATTAAAAAGCAAGGCCACCTCTCGCCAGACCAAACCCACATTCTCCAAGACGCTTATACTACCCGTGCTGTTGTATGGATCTGAGTACTTGCGTAAGCAGATGAGGCAGCTCTTGGTGTGTTTGAGTGAAATAATTCTCCGGAAGATCTATGAGTCGATCTGCGTCGACGGTGAATATCGCCGTCGACTGAACCATGAGCTATACCTTATATTCTCGGAGATCGACATAGTCATACGTCTCGAACTGCAGAGACTACGTTTGATGAGGATGCCCCAGCTCAAAAGGCATATAAGAGCGAACTAGCTGATGGCTCACGCAGAAGGGGAAACCGCGAATATGATGGATGAGATGAGCACAAGGTCGACGAGCCTGGAAATCTTTTTTAAGTTCGGCTTATGGAACAAACGTTCTGTCACAAGCCAACTAAGAAGGTCATTGAAAATTATTCTTTTCGAAATTCACGCTTGTGGCTATTCTGGCTCTTAAAAATTAACACGCATGTGGCTCTTCTGGCCCTTGGAAAATATTCTTTTAAAAATCCACGTTTGTGGGCATTGTGGTCCTTGAAAATATTCTTTTACAACACATTAAAAACTATTATTTTTAAAATTTATAGATCTGTTGACCATTGAAAAATATTACAACTCTGCAATTTTAACATTTAGCATGTCAAACGAATCAAAATACGTAGATTAGAAAAATAATTTCATTTCTATTTACATATATATTTCTAAATAATTTTTTTTCCAAATTTTTTGTTATGGCAGAAGAAAATCAAAATTTGGACACCAAGCCTGAGCAAACGGAAGAAATAACTCCGCCAGAAAATACAGAGCCCGTAAACGATAACCCTCAGAATAAAATAACTGATAAGGATGATGAGTTATCACTATTAGGTGAACAATTTGATAATTATATGCGCATTGCAAAGGCGTTAATGAATACGCTAAGGAGACCGCGTGATATTGAAGTCGGTAACGATCTACTTCGTAAAGTACAAACCCTTAATAATAGTCGTCATGTTGAGGTGCGACGCAATAACAATCGTTTCTTTCGTTATTGTTTAAAAGTTTTGAAATGGACCAGTGAAAATCAGCCATTGGAATTGTATCGACGATTTGTAATGCGATTGAATATACAATTAAAAAATATTTAATGATGTTTGTTGTTGTTTTTAGTATCCTGATAATTTTACCCCCAACAACGATCTGAAAGAAGATATACAATGGTCAAGTGATAAAAAATCATATATGGCAGCAAAGACATATAAAAATTGCGTTTCTTTATTGTATATTGCGGTGGCGAATGATGTGGAAGCTGGTTGGCAGGATGAAGGTTTTAAGCAATTGCAACAGAAATTGGCTTGTGAAAGGGATTGAAAATTGAGGAAAATGTGTAAATTATTTTTTAATTAATTTTCTATGAATTAGTAATGTAATTACATTATTTGAATGAAAAAAATTGTTGTATAAATCCCAACTCTATATTGGACGAAAATATATATGAGAGCTATATCTATATCTGAACCGATTTTCACGAAACTTAACACACATCATTCTAGACCTAATTCATTACGCTGTGAAAAATTTCGTGCAAATCGTAAGATATATAGGGACTTTTGTGCACCATTTACATTAACTATATATGGGAGCTATATCTAAATCTGAACCGATTTTCAGGAAACTTAGAGCACATCATTCTAGACCTAATTCATTACGCTGTGCCAAATTTCGTGCAAATCGAAAGGTATATAGGGACTATAAATGGGTGTTATAAATAAATATATATGGGTGTTATATCTAAATCTAAACCGATTTTCAAGAAACTTAACACACATCATTCTATACATAATTCATTACACTGTGCAAAATTTCGTGCAAATCGAAAGATATATAGGGGCTTTGGTGCACCATTTACATTAAATCGGACAAACCTTCTGAACTTAGAAAAATATTCTTTAAAAATCCACGCTTGTGGCTCTGCTGTTCCATAAAAATTATTCTTTTAAAAATTCAGGCTTGTAGTTCTGCTGGTCCTTAAAAATATTCCTTTAAAAATCCACGCTTGTGGCTCTGCTGTTCCATAAAAATTATTCTTTTAAAAATTCAGGCTTGTAGTTCTGCTGGTCCTTAAAAATATTCCTTTAAAAATTCACGCTTGTGGCTCTGCTGTTCCATAAAAATTATTCTTTTAAAAATTCAGGCTTGTAGTTCTGCTGGTCCTTAAAAATATTCCTTTAAAAATCCACGCTTGTGGCTGGCTGGTCCTTAAAAAAAATTTATTTAAAAATCCGCGCTTGTGACGCTGCTGGTCTTAAAAAAAATATTCTTTTAAAAATCCACGCTTGTGCCTCTTCTGAACCTGGAAAAATATTTTTTTAGAAATCCACGCTTGTGGCTCTAGCGAACCTAGAAAAATACTCTTTTAAAAATCCACGCTTGTGGCTCTTCTGAACCTAGAAAAATATTATTTTAAAAATCCTCGTTTGTTTCTCTTCCGAAACTAGAAATATATTCTTTTAAAAATCAACGCTTGTGGCTCTTCTGAACCTAGAAAAATATTCTTTTAAAAATCCACGCTTGTGGCTCTTCCGAGCCTAGAAATATATTCTTTTAAAAATCAACGCTTGTGGCTCTTCTGAACCTAGAAAAATATTCTTTTAAAAATCCACGCTTGTGGCTCTTCTGAACCTAGAAAAATATTTTTTTAAAAATCCATGCTTGTGGCTCTTCTGAACCTAGAAAAATATTCTTTTAAAAATCCACGCCTGTGGCTCTTCTGAACCTAGAAAAATATTCTTTTAAAAATCCACGCTTGTGGCTCTTCTGAACCTAGAAAAATATTACTTTAAAAATTCACACTTGTGGCTCTTCTGAAACTAGAAAAATATTATTTTAAAAATCCACGCTTGTGTGTATTGTGGCTCTTGAAAAATATTCATGTGGGTACTGTGGTCGCTGATTTTTTTTAATTCCACGCTTGTGTCTGTTCCTTAAAAAATAGTATTTTAAAAATCCAGCATTTCTTGCCCCTGAAAAATATTTTTTTGAAACATTCATGCTTGTGGATCTTCTGGTCATTGAAAAATATATCCTTGAAAATATTCATTTAATAATCCAACCTTGTGGATCTGTTGGTCATCAAAAAAAAATTCTTTTAAAAAAAATGTTTGTGGTTCTTCGGGCCCTTGAAAAAAATATATTAAAAAAAACACTTATTTAGCCCTCCTAGTTCACACCCTTATAGTGTTTTTGCCATTAACACAATATTCATATAGATCTATCTGTTGGTCCTTTAAATATTCTATCAAAAATCTTTTATCATTTTTGGAATACACTTTAGCTACTAGTCCTTAAAAAATTAAATGAATTACAAATCAATATCGTTTATGTTAAATATGTATTTGGTTTACATAAAAATATGTAGTATTTATTAATATAAAATATATGTATATAAAATATATAAAAATATTGTGTCGCTTATACAGTAATACATACTTGGAGACTTTAGTGGGTATTCTGAATGTAAATTTCAATTAAAATTAAAGCAATTATTTTTAATATAATCTTATGAAAAAAAAAACATATTTGTTTAATTACAATTTAATGGAATGTTCAAAAAGTTCAACTGTCCAATTAGCACATTACGTTGAGTTTATATCGTTGTTTTGTTAAAAGAATTAAAATAACTTTAATTGAAATTTTCATGAATCAGAAACCCAAGTTAAATATAATGGAATGTTTTTACGTTCTATTACAATATTATAATAATAGATTTGGACGGCAATACATTGAGTCATCTTAAGTATGTGGTTTTAAATTTGTTTCAAGAAAAAAAACATTTAAACAAAAAAGTACAATTTCTGCATTTCTTTGAAGAAACACGGAGATTCGAGCAAATACATTCGAAATGGTAAGGCACACTATTAATTGTCTATAGTTTATTTGTTGTTGTTGCTTCTTCTGTGGACGGATGGTCTGATGGTTTTCCTATGTTTCTTTGTACTACAAACAACATTCAACCCCCTCTTTACTATTGTCGCAAAAACCAAGCAATGGTTGATACCAGCATTGTTGTCGCTGCTATGGCCAATTGATTGCCACTCATGAGACTGGCTCCATTACAACCATCTTTGCTGTTGCATGTACAGTATTCCATGAAAATGTTATAACTGCCCGTACGCATCAAACAATAACGTTCATCTCCTTCAATGCCAGGTTCTCCCATGAAGGCACAGCTGCGGAAATAACGCCATTCACCATGAGCCTTCTGCCTGATTTTACGACACATGGTCGGACGTACGCCCGGCAAGTGCTCCAAATCTTTTAATTGATTGCAGTCCGTAATAACCAAGGTGCTATTATCGAATGGGTCACCACATTTGGGATCATTATCGGAACGACAATCCCAACATTTGATGCTTAGAACTGCAAAAGGAAATAAAATAAATTATGAATATTAAAAAAAATTAAAAGAATTAGAATCATCACAACCAGCAGCATTTCACGTTGTTGTTGTGGTTTTATTGGTAGCTGCTGCTTATGTTTTGTCATACCTGTTTGGGCCAAACACAATACAAGAATGCTGCACACAAATACACGTTGCATTATTGGTAATTGAAACATGATATGGTTTGTCAGCTTTTATTGGATGCACAATTTATTAATTTTTAAATAAAACAATAAGTAAAACTTTATAAAAACAAACAGCAAGTTAATTAAAATGAAAAACAACTGACCCGCCCTAAAATTTGTTTGCGTTCTCTGCTGCTGCGTTATGTAGGGGTATGTAAGTCGATTTTGTGTTAATCGAATAATCGATTTCTTAGTATCAAAATCGATTCTCAGATAAATTGGCAAACGATAAAAACTAATAGTGTGTAAACCGTTTTACTGACTGGTACGAATCGTATAGGTACCGGGTAACTCAGGGGTAAGATCTATTAGGTTGGGAAAAAAGAAATCCATTAGTCCGGTCGTTGGAAATGTCGATAAAATCGGAGAAATTATCGTAGCTTACCGACATGTTAGCAGTTGTAAAATCGCCCAGGACCTAAAAATCGACCATAATTTTTTAAACCATTTACACAAAGCTGGAATTTAAAAAAAACTCGATTTTTGGCTGTCACACCAATTAAAAGAAAAAAATAGGATGGATCGAATTTCATCTGCCAAGCCTTGGCCAAACCAAATCTTATCTTATTCTGCAGTTACCTACTTTGATTCGAATAATAGGTTGCATCTCTTTCTTACCGAAAATAAAATCAATGATATGCCGTATCGATCAACCCTGATCCACCTGAAGCAAACTATTCAACTAGTTATTCCCTTTTATATTGCTATGACCTGGATCTCAACGAAGTTTAAGCCTCACGAACTGCCTTCGAAATTTTAGTCTGCGATTGCGACTGCGACATATATAGTTATCGATCCTAAGTCAGTACACCATAGTTCCTAGTGTTTCATTTGCATGTCCAGAGTGAAGTGCGACATATTCCTATTTCCTTGTGCCTCATTGCATTTTCAGGTTACGGGTTACCCACACAAGAAATACAACATTTTAGCAATTTTTTATGAGAATTTTTATGGGGACTGTGCTTAATTGGTATAGACCATCTTCGAACTTAAAGTGCCCATCAAAAGTCAGACTGTTTTAATAGAGGGAATGTAAACTATTATAATATCACTAGAAGGATTGGACCGATGAGTCAAAAATGGGAACTTGTTAGAGCTTGTTAAAAATAATATGTCTAAAGTTTGGTTGATATTAAGATATTCCATTCACTGGAATACAAGTTTTAAAACTATTGATACTTTGGGGGGAAGTACTAGAATGATTAGACCGAAAGGTCCAATTGATGTGTACAGTTTGTATCAAATCGTAATTTCCATTCGCTTGATGAACAAAATTAGAAAACTTTGACACATAGTGAGGTAGGTACCAGAAGGAGTGGAGTGATGATTACACACCTTCCGACATGAACAAGACTGATTAAAATATTATGGTATGCATTGTTTGGTTGAAATTTGAATATTCCATTCACTTAATTTGAGATTTTGAAGTTTCCAATCGAATCGTTAGCACTCCAGCATTTAAATGTGAATAAATCTTTTGTGTCTTATACCATCGCTCGTTAGCGGAATACTGGCGTAGCCCGACGTCAAGGAAGTGGACGGAAGAAAACAGCAACATAATCAGAAATGGTTCGAAAAGTAAAGAAGCGACTTGATCGGAACCCGTGTCGCAGTGGCCGAAAAATGAGCTCGGGGTAAAGCCATTGAATTTCCGAAAAGTGCCAGAATTTACACTGCAATAGAAAGAAAATAGACTCAAAAGAGCTAAAGAGTTGCTAAAGGTTGGCACCAAAAAATACCAAAGTGTCGATCACCTCAAGCAAGTGCTTCGCCGGGAATGGGCCAAAATACCACAGATCAGCATTCCGGCAGCGTGTGACGGTTTCATTGGCGTTTTAAGGCCATAATTCATGCCAAAGGTGACCAATTCGAACAAATCTAAACCTATTTTAAAATTGGATGCTATTTCCGACATTTTTTGCTTTCATTCAATAACATTTTAAAATAAATGTAAAAATTATGGCATATGACTTTGTTGCATTTTTTATCTCACCCTGTAAATTGTCGGAATGTTTATGTACCCTCATTAATCAAAAAGCTGAGGGTATAAAAAAATAATAATTATTATTAGAAATTTTGGGGTTACGGTTATATGGAAACTACCCCAAAGAGCTCGATAACAATTTTTCCTTTATGATATCAAAGAAAATATTAAAAATAAATAAATTATTGCTGTACGGGAAGCGACTATACGTTAAAGTGTATAAAAATATAACATTTCTGCTCTGTTCTACAATCTACAAAAATTCTTATTTATTAAATCTTATTTTTCTTTATAAATTTGAAAATTTTTTCAAGTTGTATTTTTTATAAATATCATTTGCTCTCTACTTCACCTTTATTATTTCCTTTGTGTGCTGGGTTATTCCCTTACGAACTTTGTTATCGACATTAAAGGCAACCGTAGTGTAATTACGCCCTACCATTTCTAATACAAAACAACGCTGGTTGTAAACAAGCCAGAGTTAATTTTGACAGCTAGTCTATACTACGTTCATTTCACAACAACAACAACAATTATTCATTCATTAAGCCTAATATTTACAACACATTTGTTTATATTCCATAATAATTTCATTAAATTCTAAATTATTTCTAACATTGCACAACGAAACACCAAGAAGATGAAGGCTGTGGCGATAAATTCCATCACTTTGTTGTTGGTTTTAAGTATCAGTGGTAAGTTTTGTCCACAGAAATTAATATTGAAATTATTTAGGGTGTGGTTGGTTTGATCGGCTTGGACAAGTGACTTTTAATTAAAAATATTTTTATCTTTTAGGTACGCTGGCCATTCGTTGCTATCAATGCTCCTCTGATCAGGATCGCAAAGGATTCGATAGTTGTGGTGCCTACAAGCCCTTCAATCGTACCGAACACATTCCCATTGAATGCAACAGCGAAGAGTCGCACATGCCTGGTTCGTTTTGTATGAAGGTAGTGCAACAGGGACCCCGTGGTTTTATTTGTAAGTGGTTTTGAAACATTTAAAATCGAATACGTTTTAATTTATTTATTTCAACAGGGGATGGTCGCTGGAGACAAGTTATAAGACGTTGTGCCTCTGTGGCTGATACCGGTGTAACAGGTGTCTGCAACTGGGGTGTTTATGAGAATGGTGTCTATTGGGAAGAGTGTTATTGTTCCAGCGATAGTTGCAATGGTTCCGAATCATTGACAACGGCCAAATCAATATGGGCAGCTGTCATATTGCTGTGCGGTTTTGCATTTACTCGTGTTGTAGGCAATTAAAACAATTGTTGGTTGTGTAGTATTAGAACCTGCAGTCTTTTTTAATAGTAGTGCCTTTTCTATAAAGATTTAAACACATTCCGTCCATTTTATACAAATTATGTATTAGTTTATAAGAAATTTTATATTTTCCATAGAACGATGAGAATCTCTAAAACAAATATCGAATATCGATAGCTTTAAAGTGCAAACCATATCAAAAACTATGTGAATGTTTTTTTATCACTTGAGTATAATAAAAATTCGCACATTTATACAAACGCATTGACTTTTAGTTAAGGTGGTGAACATTTTTTATACTTTGATTTAAAAAAAAAATACTTTTAGAAGTACATCTAGGGCTATTAGGACTAATAGAGCTATAAAAGTGTAAATAGGGTTTAAAGAATGGGATTTTAGAAAAAACATTGACTTAAGTCTATTTTAGGACCCCCCTCGCGGATCGTTTTGAAATTTTTACCACAATGGAACTATGGAGGCCCATATTTCCGGAAATATCGATTTCCGCCATAAAAAAAAATATACCAAAGAATATCAGGGCCCCAAGGACTACATGTTGTAAAAATTTCCAAAAGAATCCGCGGGGTGGCCCTGAAATATACCATTTCCAAAATATTTTTCAAGGGATTAGTAATTTTTTAGAAGTTCTTTTATGGCTATAAGGGCAATTAGAATATTTTTAAAAGGTGATTCCAAAGAATATTTTTAGAAGCACCGCTACACTACAAATATTAATTTAGAAGGACTATTAAGGCTATAAGACTGGACTTTTAAAATAATATTTGCAGAAGAACTACTAGCACGTTTCTAAAGATTATTACAAGAGCTTATCCTTGGACTTTTATAAAAATATCTATGAAGAGCTATTAGTGTTTCCAAAGAATGCTTTAGAAAGTCTTAAAAAAATTAGAGGACTACTAGGATTACTTCAGAGATAAAATTTAAAAGGACTATTAGGGCATTTATTAGAAGGAATACCAGGTTTTTTGCAAAGAATATTTGTATAAGTATGACTAAGGCTATATGAGAACTATTGTTACTTTCAAAAAGATATATTTGAAGGTCCTTTTTTTAAAGAATGTTTTTAGAAGGACCATTAGGGCCATAAGAGTGGACTTTTAAAATAATATTTATAATTATATTGTTTAGTTTAATATATTGAATGATTCAATTGATGTTTTGGATGTTAATAGTTTTAAGCATTTGGAATCCTTGGTTTTGTAGTATTGTGCGTTGTTGTCGAGAAAGTGATCTGCATGTTTGGAGGATATGTTTAATGACACATTTTGGGCATTTATTGTCGGTATTCTTATTTAAAATAATATTTTTAGAAGGAATCCAAAGAAAAAAAAAATAGAAGGACTTTTACAAAAGAATATTTTTCAAAGTATTACTAGGCCTCTTCGAATGATTAATGTTAGAAGAAATATTACAAGATGTACTAGTAACTTTCCAAACAATATTTGTAGAACTATAAAGGCTACAAGCGTAATCTTTTAAAAGGACTATTAGGCACTCTTCACAGAATGTTTTTTGAAGAATCAACAAGAATATTATTTCCTATTTTTAAATTAGAAGGTCTCTAGGAGAAATATTTAGTCTGTTCCCGTACTGCAAGAATCTACTTGATTTTACTATTTTCTTCAATATCATAAAGGAAATTTCGTTATCGTAGTAAAAAGTAGTAGATTCTTGCAGTACGGGAACAGACCAATTGTGAATATATCGTAGACTTTTAAAAAATTATATATGAAGGGATACAATAGGACTTAAGCTATAAGATTAGACTTTAAAAATGATATTATTAGGAGCACTACTAGGATTTTTCTAGAGAAAAAATTAGAAGGACTATTAGGGCATTAAAAAGAAGATTTTTAAAAGAATTACGATTACAACAACAAAAAACCAGTAAGGAAAGTAGTAAAGTCGGACGGGGCCGACTATATGATACCCTTCACCACTTTAGACGTTCCATTTTCGAAGGACCATTAACATGAAATTAAACATGTCATTCTGCAACCTATATGAAATTTTGGTCAGATAGGTTCTTACAATGGGCCAATATCATGTAAGGTCATTAACATGAAATTGGATGAACTAAAATATATGACCTTAATCTAAATGTGAACCGACTTGTGATTCGTTTGTTACTATGGGACTAAATTCTGTAAACCGATTTAAAATAAATATCAATCGCGCACCCGTAGAATATTTAGAGCCCAAGTAACACACAATTACGCCATTCTATTCTGCAAAACATGAAGAGTTTGGTGCACCATTTACTTAAAATTGGATGAAAATATATATGGACGCTATAGACTAAGTTAGACTAATTTATGCACGTTTTGTTCCTAATGGACATATTTTGGGTCTTTGAGTCTATGGTGCACCATTTATTTAAAATCGGAATAAAATATATATAGGAGCTATATCTAAATTTCGCTCAAAATTAAAAAGTAAAATTAAATCAGGCAAAAATATATGGGAGCTTTATTTAAATCTGCACCAATTTTCATTAAACTTACATAATTCGGAAAATTTATAGGAACTTTGGTACACCCTTTACATGAAATCGGACAAAAATATATATTGGAGCTATATCTAAATCTGAACTTATTTTCAAGAAATTTTGTACACATCATTCTAGACTCAATTTAGTACGATGTGCCAAATTTCGTGCAAATCGGAAGATATATAGAGACTTTGGTACACCATTTACATGAAATCGGACGAACATATATGGGAGCTATATCTAAATCGGAACCGATTTTCACGAAATTTGGCACACATCATTCAAGACTTAAGTCAGTACGTTATGCCATATTTCGTGGAAATTGAAAAATATATAGGGACTTTGGTGAACCATTTACATTAAATCGGTCGAACATATATAAAGGGAGCTATATCTAAATCTGAACCGATTTTCTCAAAAGGAACCATGGGTCTATCTCGATTCCTTTTGCATGTTACATATGCACAAAGACATAATACCCTGTACCACAGTGTGGTGAAGGGTATAAATATAGACTGCTCCAAAAGCTTAAAACTAACAATATATTAGCTTAATAATATCTTAACGTCTATTCAGTTGGAAGGGGTCAGAAGCCTTGGACTTCTAAAACATTTTTTATTATTATAATTTAAACTGTAACGTCTTCGCACATCTCTCTACCCCTAAATTCAAGCTATCATATTTCGGGATCCCTCTAAAAGAGTGTAATTTCAAACCATAAGAGCATAGATTTTTAAAAAAATATTCTTTCAGGACTTGTCAAGCTCTAAGCGTTGTGTTTTTAATAACAATTTTCTTCCATGCCTATCAGAGGTCTAAGTGTTGAGATATCAAAGGAAAAATCGTTGGTTTCTTATAATAATATATTTTCAGGGGAGATCCAAATGACATTTTAAATCGAATATTTTTTTAGGGACTCCAAGCTCAATGCTACGTTGTAATAGACAATGGAATCGGTTATATTCTCCAAAACATTTAGATGGAAAAAATATCGTTTTGTGCTAATTAGTTTAGGTTTTAGGAAATAAGGATGAAAAAAAAACACACACACAAAAGGTCTCGAGATAAAAGGAGAATATGTTTTATTTTAAGCATTTTTATCGCATTTTAGAATTAGCAGCAAACAAATATCACGCCATATCTAAAAACTTTGGCCTGTGCACAGAGATAATTGGAATATATACTTCAAGAAGTATTAAATGTATAAGAGCTTGTTCGGGAATCTATTCTGAGTTTCTGTAACACACATTTTTCCATGACATTATACTGTAATATTTATGGTGAGAGCCAGGACGATATATAGAAATATTATTATCCATCAAACAAACACACTGTGAATAAAAAACTAAATTGTTTGAAACCGACAACGTTCTTAGATAATTGTATAAGGTGAAACAAACTCACAGTGTTGTCTAGAATTATTAGGTATTATAAAATGATCATGGATCTTTGTAAATACGTATTGCATCCCTGAATATACTTGATAGATAACAATAAAACAACGTGTTTTATAATTCATTATTTTAGTTTTATTTTATTGAACATTTTTGTTTATTTAATTAATTTTTTGTTTATTTCGTTATAAGTGTTCAATTGATATATTATCTTTTATTTTATTTAAATTTCATTACCTTTTTGTGTGAAGTTGTGACTTTGAATAGTATGAAATGCTATTGTTGTTGTTTATATTCGAAAAAAAAGAAATTACTGTTTTTTTTTGTGTGATGTGAAAAAATGTTTAAAATTTGAGTCAAAATTGATTTGAGATTTGAAGAAACCAAGTTGCAAGTTGTGAGACAATACACAACAAAATTAGTTTTTTGGTTGTTTGTTTGCTTTTGTTTTATGAATCTACTTCTCCCATAGCTGTGGATATAGTATTTTGTGTGTGTGGTGCATTGTATCAAAATGTATTACTTAATTTTCTAATCCTGTTTGACACCATTTGTTTGTGCTTGGGCTTGGGCAATTTGTTCGGCTTCTTTGCGGCTAGTCTGTAAGGAGTGAAAAATGAGTATAAAATTAGTTTCATCTGAACGACAATTTTCTTTGCAATCTTACCTGATACCATACAACCAAGCGTCCACCCAACATAAATGTAAAGACCAACGCTGGTCCGGAACGTTCAAACGGATCACTAACCATCCAATGTTGATAAATGCCAAGTAGCATTAATACTAAGAGTGTTATATTGGCAGCATTCTTAACTTTATCTGTTAAATGGAAGAAGAAGAAAGAAAATTAGGTTATATCTTATTATAAATAAAATATGTGTGTGAGTTGTCTTACGGTATGGAATAAGCGCCATGGCCAAACCACATACAATTTCCAGTACACCAACGGAACGTCGATACCATTTTGAGGGAATTTTTACACCAAACAGAGCCGTCAGGGGAAATACTTTAGCATATTTGACATATTCTGTTCGCTGAAATTAGATTGAGAATGAAATAGTAATTTATGAAAATCATTTCAATTTAAAAATTTAAATCTATACTAATAAAAGAGTAAAGTGATTGACTGACTGATTTAACGATTCATCAATGCCCAGACGAAACGGCTGATGCTAGAATCTTGAAATTTGGAATGCAAATTAAGAAGTAGGGTCGATTTAAGCAGATGATTTTGAAATCGTGTACACACGTATACGAAAAGTACTATATTTGGTACAATTTTTAACTGGAGGTACACATGGAGCTAAAATTTAAAATTAATATCACCGCTGGAGAGTAGGATTTGTATATATGAGTAGTTATGGAAATGTTGTACTTACGAAAAGTACTAAATCGTACTATAATTGATACAATTTGGATTTGTTTGAACCAACAGAGCTGTGATATTGAAATTTGGAATTAGGATCATTGTTGGGGTGTAGGATTATCGTATGTAGGGAATTTTGAAAATTCGTACTAATGTGTACTATTTGGTACCAAATTTGGATTTGGGTGAAACGATAGAGCTGGAATCTTGACATTTGGAGTTAGGATAATTGTTGGGGTAGAATTGAGCTATTTAAGAAGTTTTGGAAATTCCTACTAATGTGAACTAAATTTTGTGCAATTTAAATTTTGAGTGAACTGATATATACAGTTTTGGAAATTTGTACTAAATGGTACCAAATGCGGATTTGGGTGAACCGATTGAGCTGGAATTTAGAAATTTGTCGTTCGAATCACTGATGGGGTGTAGAATTGGGCTTGGTGGTAAGTTTTGGAAATTCGTACTAATGGGTACTAAATATGGTACAATTTAAATTTTAGCTGAACCAATAGAGCTGGAAACCTTGAAATTTAGAAGTAGAAAGTGTAGGATAGGGATGTTGTGGAAATGGTATCAATTTTGGATTTGGGTGAACCGATAGAGCTGGAATCTTGAAATTTGATGTAAGGATCACTGTTTAGTGTATAATTTATCTTTGTTAGAAGTTTTGGATATTCGTACTAATGTGTACTAAATTTTGCTGGAATCCTTAAATTTGGTGTTAGAGGTACTGCCGGGAAATTTGTACTAATGTGTACAGAATGGTACTAAATGTGGATTTGAGTGAAACGATAGAGCTAAAATCTTGAAGTTATAAGTTAAGGGTATGTAGGAAGTTTTGGAGATGTCTACCAATGTGTACTAAATGGTACTAAATTTGATACAATTTGGATTAAAAGTTAACAGATAAAGCTGGCATCCTGAAATTGAGTAAAAAGATTTCTATTGGATTGCATGATGTAGGTAGTACGAGGGCAGTTCGGAAAGTTATTAGCCTAGCACATGTTTTGTAAACTCCAATCTCTGTCATAAACACATGTTAAATTTTGTTTCGATCTGGCAACTACTTCATATAGAAATAGGTGTTCAAAAAATTAAATAACTACTGTATTAAATAACTAACAATAACTGATATCGGATGGTACACCATTAAGAAAAAATTGGACTAAAGTATTATGGGAGTTATATCTAAATCTAAACCGATGTCAACAAAACTTCACAGGCATCAGACTGGAATTATTTCTATATGCTGTGGAAAATTTTCTTACAAACGGACAAATATTGAAAGTTTGGTGCACCATTTAAATAAAATCGTACGAAACTATATTTGGTAGCTCTATGCAAATCTGAACCGATTTCAACAAAACATCGCATATGTCTAGCGGGACCTAACACAATACGCTGGGCAAAGTTTTGTCTCAATCGGACAAATCTTGGCAGTTTGGTGCACCATTTACATAAAATCGGACGAAACTGTTTATGGGAGTTGTATCTATATCTGATCCGATTTCTATGAAACTTAGCACACTCCATTCTTGTTTCAATCCCATACGTTATGCCAAATTTCGTCGTATTCGGACAAAAATGCAGAGTTTGGTGCACCATTTACATAAGACCGGACGAAGCTACATATGGGAGCTAAACTTCACAGATATCAAAGTGGACATAATTCAGTTCGCTGTGTAAAGTGTGGTGTTAATCGGAAAAATATTGGGAGTCTGGAGCATAATTTCAATCAAATCGGGCGAAAATATATATTGGAGCTAAATCCAAATCTGAACCGGTTTTCTCCAATTTCAATAGGCTTCGTCCTTGGGCCAAATAAATGAGCTGTGCCAAATTTCATCCAATTCGGATCATAAATACGGACGGACAGACGACATTCATAAATCGACTCAGATTAGAAAGTGATTCTATGCATATTCTCAAATGGAACCATGTGTGTACCTCGTTTCCTTTTGCTTGTTACAAACATATGCCCAAAGACAGACACAGTGTAGTGAAGGGTATAAAAAGTCCTAGAAGTGAATTTTTAAACAATGCGTTTTGTGAATTTTAGACACAACTCTCAACAGGATCTACTGTAAATTGGTATTTTGGATTCACTTTGGCTATCAGATCTGTATACAAAAAAGGTCAATATTAACTTATGTTTCAGAGTAGTCCCCATAAAACGGTACCCCTCAATATCCGGTTTGGTTGTAATTTGTTATTTTGGGTTGAGGTATGTATGGTAGAAAATCTTCCTACTAATAATTATAAATATTGGTCCACCTTTTACGGAAGCTCACATATATCGCTACACCCAAAACATCGATATTTTAGGGAGCTTAAGCACGTATTTCAAACAAAGTTCGGTATTTTGGGCACGTTTTTAAACCAAATTTGCTTTAAGTTGATTTTTCAGGTACTAATGGGATGTCAAATCTTCGTACAAAACATGATCAATATAGGTCCACTTTTTACAAAACCCCCATATAACGCTACGTCCCATGCTTCACCCTAATTAGCTGTAATTTTATATTTTGGATACTCATCTCCCAAAAATGATTAATATTGGCCCAAGTTTTCGGTAGCCCCCATTAATCGGTATTTAGAGGGGTTTGGGTATTTTTTATTAATTAAATTCTTATGGGTGTCAAATATTTCTACCAAAAATTACACTGTGCAGCACTAAAATCTTGAACCAATCGAGACCCCCAAAATCTTGAAGCTTGTGATGGTGGAAGAAAATCCCTAGCTGGGTTTAGCATTATTAGCTAAGGTTTTTTTTTAAATTAATTTTTAAAATTAGCACAATTTTCAAATAATACGTACGTATTATTGAGTCTATATCTCGTGAACTATTTGAAATATTGCTTTTCTCTCTTAAGCAATATTTTTCCTCTTAATTAGATCTAAAAATTTTCTCTTGAGATAAAATCAATGAAACAACACCATCATACTGAAAATAGCACAACTGCAAAAAATTAAAATTTCGACATACTTTTTCCATGTTTAATTTTTACTTCAATTTTGTACATATTTATTGAAAAAAGCATAGCAATTTTTATTTCTATAAACATACAATTGGGAGTGAATTTCTTTGGTTCATCTTGATGAATTTGTGAGGCTATAACTATGTGAAGGAGTCAACCAATGAAATCGGGGTTTTAAGAAAAGTTGTTTGATTTGCTATTGGCTATCTTCTTGTCATATACTGTTTGGCCGAGTCAGTAGCAGTTTCTGAAAAAAGTGTGAAAAACATGGAAAAGTATGTCTAAATTTTAATTTTTTGCAGTTGTGCTATTTTCGGTATGATGGTGTTGTTTTATTGGTTTTATCTCAAGAGAAAATTTTTAGATCTAATTAAGAGGGAAAATATTGCTTAAGAGAGAAAAGCAATATTTCGAATAGTTCACGAGATATAGACTCAATAATAAGTACGTATTATTCAAAAATTGTGCTAAAATCCGCCCCAGTCGAATATTTTAAAAATGAATTTAAAAAAAACCTTAGCTAATAATGCAAAACCCAGCTAGGGATTTTCTTCCACCATCACAAGCTTCAAGATTTTGGGGGTCTCGATTGGTTCAAGATTTTAAAGTTGAAAAATGTGTCACTGTGTTATCAATATCAGTTTACGGTTTGGTATAGCTCCCATAGAACGGTAACATCCCATATTCGATATTTGAAGACTATAGCCGCATTTTCCAGTAGATGGGGATGTAATTTGGTATAAAGGGTTCTGGAAGGTTGACTTATATCAGTCGTATTGAATACCCCATAAAGTATATAAATATGTATTCTTATTCAGAATAAAATTCTACGTCGATTTAGCCATGTCCAAATCACAATAGTGATCGGAACATTCAAGATAGAGCTTTGAACTTTTGCACAGACATTGCTTGTACTCCTAGGATGTTCTGTATTGTATGTGGGCTATGTTGGTCCACGTTTTGGTATAGATCCACTATGAAGTATTTTTGATATTTTGAATATTTTAGGCAAACATAGTCCCCATATAAAATTCCCACCTAATTTTTGAGGTGAGGTCTATTTAGCCGGATTTCTAAATAAAAGGTCTGTAATTGGGAATACAGGATTTTTTGGTAAAGAAAATAATTTTTGCCAACCAATATTCAATATTGGTAAATGTTTGTAAATATTATACAGTTTTCCTGCTAAAATAGAGTCTGCAGTTTGGTTCTATAAAAACGAAATGTCGCACATTCAAAAAAAAAGCAAATTGATATTCAATTTAGTACTGCACCAGTGTTCTACATACCTAAATAATAATTGCACAATTAATAATAAATGTAATAGCAAAATTCTGGCGCTCACTTTGTCCCAAAACAGCAGAGCATCATTGTTTTCAATATAAATAACATTTTGAAGACCTGCTACTGGGGTCTTTCAAAAAAACAAACAAGCAAATAAACAATATTATGTTTTAAACGAAAATGAAAACGCTTTCTCTCTCAACACCACCCACCACCTTCCCCTATATTCACCTACAACCATACGTCCATCCACCCACTTGCCCACTAGACTAAACAAAAAGCCCGCCAAGAACTCTTTGGCTAAATATTTTATCAAAGACGTCATAATTATCAATGGGTCGGTCAAGAGAATAATAAACAGTTTTGAGAGCCATAAACAAAATGTAAAGAAAGAGATCGGACACAA